TCAAACTTTGTCCCAGGAGTCTTAATCGTCAAATTATTATAGATCGATTATCATTGCCTAAATCTGTCACCTAATTGTTGTTCCCAAATCATAGTTGTGAGCCTGGTGTTATCCTCCACAACTCCAATAATTTATGCTACAATTGCATGAGACAAGCTCACATTCCCAACTTCTTCTACCAGAATCTTCTACAATAAAGAGAAACAATATACTTTTATAATTTATTTGGAATTTTACATAAGAAATTGGAAGATTTACGTATATGTAAATGTATACTGATAATGCCGAATGTGCAGCTCAACATACTGCTTCACTTTATAGCCTTCCATCTCAAATGCATGATCATAACTTCCATAAATGATTTCAGCTGTTAATTAGGATTCCAGATCTTCTTCTTTCCATTTATTTCGGGCTCTGATATATTTTGCCTTATCGTTTCCAATGCCTTTCTTCATGGCAAACTCAACGACACCATCTTTATGCGTCAGCCTCCGGGATGCTCGATACATCCAATCCACATTATGTGTGCCATCTTCAAAAATTTGCCTATGGCTTTAAAAGGCCTCGCCAATGGTTTGATCCTTCTCCTCTCATCCAAAACATATTGGGTTCCAATCAAGTAAAACCAACTCTTCTCTCCAACCCGCTCATTTTAAACACCTTGTTGGCCCCTTATAATACCTCACAATCACAAGACCAGACATCTAGTTTTTCGTTAATAGCCAATTGCAACATCTTCACGATCCACTACTTCACTATCAACAGCTCAAGCGCCTGCTCCGCTTAGGGCTGTAAACGAGCCGAGCTTGAGCGAGCTCAGACTTGGCTCGTGTTCGGCTCATTCGAAATAGCTCGTGTTCGAAATCGGCTCGTGTTTGAAATCGGCTCGTGAACAGTGTGTTCGCGTTCGGCTCGATTTAAATATTCGTATTCGTGTTCGGCTCGTGTTCGGCTCGAAATTGGCTCATTAAACTAAAATTGTGAAAAATAAATGTAAAGTGTGGGATTCGAACCTGGATCAAATCTATACAAAAGAAAACACTAATCACATTGCCACATGAGATGTTATGATTTAAATTTAGACATAAATATATATAAATAATATATGTAATATATTGTTATATAAAAAGTTATATAAATTTCTTTTTCGAGCCATTTCGAGCCGAGCACGAGCGAACAAACTGCTGGTCGTGTTCGACTCGTTGACAATTATAGCTTAAAAATTTGTTCGTGTTCGGCTAGTTAGGCTTAACGAACGAGCCGAACACGAGCTGCTCAACGAACCGAATACGAGCTGTTCACGAACAACGAGCCAAATTGACAGCCCTAGCTCCGCTACATCAAAGGCACCCTTATAAGCAAGGAACCCTTGCCTTACATATTCAGATTCCATTAGGCAACTGACATTTTGGACCGCTGCTCTGTCACTAAATACTTTTCATTTTTTGGTACGCAAAAAATAGCTCACCGTCACTCGCTCCTCCACAGTGGTTGAGCACCATGTACTCTCTTCGATGGCAACTGATGTTATTTGGCTCCGCCGCCTCAGATCCCTACATGGCCATCGCTCACGACCCTTTCCATCGCGCTAGAACAAAGTAAATCGAAATCAATTATCACTTTATTCATGAACATATTCTTCCCAAGGAAATATCTCTTGCGTACATTTCAACCGAAGATCAACCTGCTGACATCTTCAGCAAAGCATTACCAACACGAAACTCGAGGCACATCTAACTCTATGTGTACATCAGAACTCAAAATAACTGAAAAGAAGAATAACTAGAATCCTGATGATCCTGCGGCTGAGATGGAAACTTTATTTCGAGTTCTTGTAAAACTTTTTTTTATCTGCGACTAAAAGATTTTTGCATGAAAATGAGATGTTAAATTTTATTTTTTAATATTCTAGCTTGTTTTTTTATATAAAAAAAAAGATTGCGATTGTTTATTGTTATTATGTGGAGCCATATTGTGCTGATTAATTGCTCACTTAGAGCCGTCAGAGTTGCCGATCAAGCTTAACAGTAAGTTTGTCGATGTGATACGAGGGGTGTCACCCCAAAAATCGTTAGATTGTCGCAGCACACTGTTGAGGAATTAGAACAAAGAAAGCGTAAGAATCATCGAAATCAAAAAGAAAAAACAGAGATTTAACGAGGTTCGACAATTTGCCTACGTTCTCGGGAGCAGAGCGGCGGCTTTCTTTCTTTCTTAGGTTACAATACAACAAATATATATATATATATATATAATCCTTGTACAATATGTAATTACAAAATTACCCATGTGTTATATCGTGGGGCATTGTCACCGCACCCCCAATCCACATAACGTAACTCTCCCGAATTTTGTTGATGCTTCCGCTCGCTAGCTCCGTTCCTCTCTAGCATATGTCTCTTATCTATTATATGAGCCATACCTAACACGCACTATCATAGCGCCTTGGCACCGATAACTAAATTCAGATAATTTTCACTTTAAATTTCGACTTCGCAGCGACAATCTAACGGTTATTTTATTGGATGCATTTCATTCAGATATGTGTATCTTAAACATATTGAATAAGTTTAATACATTTGTTTTAAAAATTTATAAATTATTTAGCTGGATGGAAAATAAATAAATGATTTTTTTAATTTCTTTTTCTACTATGCATTCTAATGAGAAATTAAAGGATTTGCTTAACTTTCATTGTCTCACCCTCACTCTCTCTCTCTCTCTCTCTTCTCAAAATATTAAGATGGCGGGAATTGATGTGCCAGAAAGTCTGATGACAATGTCGTCAGCAACGGTGGTGGTATGGTGGCGGCAACGATGAAGCAATACGACGATAATGGCACACAAGAAACAATTTCTGAATGGATGGTCATAAATTTGAAATTCGGTTAATTCTCATGAATTTTTATTTGACTGATTTTAGCTTTTTTGAGTAATCCTTAAATCTGAAAATTTTATATTTTATTCATTTTGCTTCTAATCAAACGCCCAAATAACTATAAAACAAAAATATGTTACACCCTGCCTCATAAAAACACACAACACCTTGTCCATTTCTATTTGCATAATTAAATACTTGAAATTTACTTCAATCCTTAAACATTGTTATCTTCATGTCAACATACTACAGTTGAAAACATAACCCTGTTCTGTAATGTCCACATGTACTGACAAAGTAATTAACACATACTTAAAGAATAATTAAGTAATTATATCTTCTCATAATCATATTTTTTTAATTTTAATCCCTGATCACATAAGTGCATTTGTTAGCATAACTGTTATATTAAACAGTTGATTTTATGTTGGCAGCTTCATGTGCATGTAAAAACAGTTGGAATTCCAATTGATATTGTCTCCTTCACTTTTCCAAAGAAGAATAATAATAATTAACAATATTATTATTAATTTTAATATTAATATGGTATTTGCTATCCTTAATTTAGCTTCATTTATTTACTAAATTTCTAAAAAAAATAACCTTTTTTTATATAAAAATATACTTAAGAGTTACAATATTGCCGGTTTTTCTTTTTATCTATTTATAATAAAGGTAAATATCAAAGCAATCACACGGCTTTTTGGAAGAAAAAAATATTATGTATAGATAATATATGTGTGGATTTGGCGCATTTTCCCACCAATCATCGCTAGGTGTGGTTGTAGTTTTCTAGCTGCAGTCTAACAATTTCATAAAAGATAAAATTATAATAATCACCGCAGTTTTTTGTAACGTTAGATTATTCTTCAACAGCTTCACATCTGTTTTTTAATAAGTTGCAACTGCCTCAAACAAACCCTAAATCTGCATATACATTATACGTACTTAATATTTTCTTTTTTGAAAGAGATCATTTCAATCCCAAAGTTTTGAAAGTGTTAAATTAGTCTAAAAATGTTTTTTTTTTTTTAATGGGTTGGATAGCTTTCACTGAGGACTATTTCAGCTCTCATTAAAAGAGTTTGAAAATTAATTCATCATTTTTTTAAACTCTAAAACTAAATTGACTTCAAATAAATAGTGAGGGGACTATTATGATATTTTGCTTTTATAATATATATAACTTGTTTCAAACTATTCATTCAGTGAATTTATTATCAAAATGAATGTCGAGGTTGTAAGTCCAATAACACAAAAAGTGACACTGAAATTATAATCGAAAGCTTCATATTATTAACTTTAAATTTAGCATGTTTATATTTGAATTGAGTAGCTCCATAAGAGAAAATGAATGAGCGTAAGATTACATAATTTTGTGGTCATCAAAAAGAATTAATAAGTTGCGTTCAGTAGAGTATTTGAGATTTTACCTAAATCTATCAAATTGACACACCCTAAACACGATAAATAGAACCATTTTTTAGCACGAATGGAGATGAGACGGCTTAGAGTAAACTCTAAACTTATGCAGAGAGTTGAAAATCAATAATCACAGACAATAGCGGTCGACCACCACCAACAACCATTATAGCCTTTAAGAAGCAACCATTGTCGTATCGCTATTATATTTCCCGATTACTACGAATATGCTATCATTAACCAATAGTTATTAATTAAACTACATTATCATTGACAATTCATATTGCAATAACAAAATGTCAAGCAAATATTCCTACAATCTTCAAATATTGGCTTCTTCCCTTGACAAGAAGATTGGAACATTATAATCTCAGTTATCATCTATGTTTATGTGTGTGCATGATGTTTATATTCAGACATAGATGTTCATTGCAAGAATATACATGAAATCCCCATAACCTTCATTATCATAAGAAGATGCAACGCATGACTGAAGCCAGCAGACAACTATTTCCTTCCACAAATAGAATTGAATCAACCACCCCTTTTCTCACAACTACAACATTATATATATAAAAAAAAATACTGTCCTCAAACTGTTTGTCAGAATGCCTCAACAAACTCCAAGCTCGGCTTTCCATGGCCGAGAAGAAGCCATGCATCTACAAACTCAGGACTCTCTGTTTCTTTAACTAATCGATCAAGTATAAGAAAAAGGAGCAAACTGCGTGTTCCAGGTAAAATTAGGCGTCAGATTAGGGATTATTTGGGCGCAGGAAGACCAGGGAGAAGAAGAATGAGGCACCTCGTAGGACATATATGGGTGCCGGCTTTCATCTGGGCTTTTGTGATTGTGCGTTCCTTCGTAGATGGTTATCACGTAGCTTGGATCATTGCGATCTCGCTCCACTCTCTTCTTAACTCCGCAGCCTGAGCTCGAGCATCGGTAATAATTCCTGCATCAGATTATTATTCAGCAGTTTCACAACTGTTTTTAATAAGTTGCAACTGCCTCAAACAAACCCATATAATCAAATTTTCCTTAAGAGTGGTTGGGCTATGGATCTCTTTTGGGACGACTGCAGCTGTTTGAATAAGTTATGATTCAAAAAGTCGTGTTTTTTTTTCAAAAGATCATATCGTAGTTTTTAGAAAATTGATTTTAAATTTATTCAATTTAACTTGAGGTAAGACGAATATAAATTCCGATTGATTATTTATATCTAATAATGATATTAAAAAATATTCGATAATTTTAAATTTCATTTTCTAGATCAATTATTTTTGTAAATGGCCAATTTATATACATGCCACCTAGGGCTGTAAACGAGCTGAGCTTGAGCGAGCTTAGGCTTGGCTCGCGTTCGACTCATTCGAAATAGCTCGTGTTCAAAATCGGCTTGTGAACAGTGTGTACGTGTTCGACTCGATTTAAATATTCGTGTTCGTGTTCGGCTCGAAATTGGTTTGTTAAACTTAAATTGAGAAAAATATATGTAAAGTGTGAGATTCAAACCTGAATCAAATATATACAAAAGAAGACACTAACTGCATTGTCACATGAGGTCTTATGATTTAAACTTAAACATAAATATATATAATATATTATTATATAAATAGTATATGTAATATATTGCTATATAAATAGTTATATAATTTTTTTTTTATTTTGAGCTAAAAAGAGCAGAACACGAGCGAACAATGAGTTGTTCGTGTTCGGCTCGTTTAACCAACGGACGAGCTGTACACGCG